AACCCATCTCCAAAAGAAGCTTATTCCCGAAATACACATTTCCAACACTAGCTGAAAGTCGCTAGATCCATCCCCAAAAGTAGCTGAAAGCCGCTAAACCGAACCCCAAAAGAAGCTAAAAGTTGCTAGACCAATCCTCAATAGTAGCTTAAAGTCGCTAGACCTATCATCAAAAGTAGCAGAAAGACACTAGACCACTCAAAAGTAGCTGGAAGACGCTCGACCTTCCCTAAAAGAAGCTGAAAGTTGCTAGACCCATGCTCATGTGTGGCTGAAAGTCACTACACCCATCTCCAAAAGTAGCATAAAGACGCTAAACCCATCTCCAAAAGTAGCAAAAAGTCGCTAAGTAAAGTTATTCCATAATTCTCCTCCGGAAACAGACGGAAGAGAAAGCGAAGCGAGAAGACGTGAAAAGCGGAAACTAGCAAAACACGAAAATCTATTACTCTGAGCCGCATTACGCTCTTCCAGACGAGGCATGGAGTCGCTAAATAAATCATGAAAAACTAGTAAAAAGTAAGACGAATGACTAATGAAGAGATGGATAGAATCAGTAACAAAACGAGCAAAGGCAGCGCTGAGTCGTCGAAGTAGCGAAGCAACAACAAACAAAAAAAAGAAAAAAAAAAAGACTATTGTCAGTATTATGAACTGCAAGAAAATATAGAAAATAAAGATAATTATAAAGAGATAAGAAGGAGGATAAGATAACGGAAAGATTCCGGACCACAACTCGACAAAAAATATCCGCGTTGGATTCATGGATTTAATCTTGGCAAAATCATGAGAGAGGAGGGGAGAGAGAGAGAGAGAAGGGTGAGAGGGGGAAGGGAGAGGAAGAGAGGGTAGAAGGGAGGGGGAGGAAGGGAGAGAGAGAGAGAGAATGGGTGAGAGGGAGGGAGTTAGAGAGAGAAAGAGAGGGTAGAAGGGAGGGGGAGGAAGGGAGAGAGAGAGAGAGAAAGGGTGAGAGAGAGAGAAAGAGAGGGAGAGAGAGAGAGAGAGGAAGAGAAGAGAGGGTAGAAGGGATAGAGAGAGAGAGAGAGAAGGGTGAGAGGGAGGGAGAGAGGAGAGAGAGAGAGAGAGAAAGGGTGAGAGGAGGGAAGGAGAGAGAGAGAGAGAGAGAGAGAGAGGGTAGAAGGGGGGAAGAGAGAGAAGGAGAGAGAGAGAGAAAGAGAGAGAAAGGGTGAGAGGGAGGGAGTTAGAGAGAGAGAGAGAGAAAGAGAAGGTAGAAGGGAGAGAGAGAGAAGAAGAGGAGGGGGTTAGAGAGAGAGAGAAAGAGAAGAGAGGGTAGAAGGGAGGGAGTTGAGAGAGAGAGAGAGGGTAGAAGGGAGGGGTTAGAGAGAAAGAGAAAGAGAGGGTAGAAGGGAGGGAGTTAGAGAGAGAGAGAGAAAGAGAGGGTAGAAGGGAGGGGGTTAGGAGAGAGAGAAAGAGAAAGAGAGGGTAGAGGGAGGGGGTTAGAGAGAGAGAGAAAGAGAAAGAGAGGGTAGAAGGGAGGGAGTTAGAGAGAGAGAGAGAGGATAGAAGGGAGGGGTTAGAGAGGAGAGAAGAGAAAGGAGGGTAGAAGGGAGGGGGAGGGGTAGACGAGAGAGAGAAGAGAGAGAGGGTAGAAGGGAGGGGGTTTAGAGAGAAAGAGAAAGAGAGGGTAGAAGGGAGGGGGTTAGAGAGAGAGAAAGAGAAAGAGAGGGTAGAAGGGAGGGAGTTAGAGGAGAGAGGAGAAAGAGAAGAGGGAGGAGGGTTTAGAAGGGAGGGGTTAGAGAGAGAGAGAAGAGAAAGAGAGGGTAGAAGGGAGAGAGAGAGAGAGAGGGTAGAAGGGAGGGGGTAGAGAGAGAGAGAAGAGAGAAAGAGAGGGAGAAGGAGAGGGAGTTTAGAGAGAGAGAGAGAAAGAGAGGGTAGAAGGGAGGGGGTTAGGAGAGAGAGAAAGAGAGAGGGTAGAGGGAGGGGGTTAGAGAGAGAGAGAAGAGAAAGAGAGGGTAGAAGGGAGGGAGTTAGAGAGGGAGAGAGAGAGAGTAGAAGAGGAGGGAGAGAGAGAGAGAGAGAGAAAGAGAGGGTAGAAGGGAGGGGGTTAGAGAGAAAGAGAAAGAGAGGGTAGAGGGAGGGGTTAGAGAGAAGAGAAGAGAGGGTAGAAGGGGGGAGAGAGAGAAAGAGAAGAGAAGGGAGGGGGTTAGAGAAGAGAGAAAGAGAGGTAGAAGGGAGGGAGTTAGAGAGAGAGAGAGAGAGAGAAAGAGAGGGTAGAAGGGAGGGGGTTAGAGAGAAAGAGAAGAGAGGGTAGAAGGAGGGGGTAGAGAGAGAGAGAAAGAGAGAGAGGGAGAGAAGGGAGGGAAAGGAAGAGAGGAGGGTAGAAGAGGGAGGGGGAGGAGAGAGGGAATGGAAGAGAGAGAGAGAGAAAGAGAGGGTAGAAGGGAGGGAGATAGAGATAGCGAGAGTGAGAGAGAATTGAAGGGAGAGAGAGAGAAAGAGAGGGTAGAAGGGAGGGGGATAGAGAGAGCGAGAGAGAGAGAGAATGGAAGGGAGAGAGAGAGAAAGAGGCGAGGAAAGAGAGAGGAGGTGGATGGAGAGAGATAGAGGAGGGGGGAGGGGAGGAGGGAAAGAAGGGGAGAGATGAAAGAGAAATGAATACATACACAGAGACAGAAAAGAGAGGGGGAAGGTGGAGGAGAGAGAGCGAACGAGAGATAAAGAGAGAGAGAAGGAAAGAGAAAGGAGAGATACACAATAAACATACATTAAGTAACTGCGATAAATATATACACAATTGATTCACAAACAAAAATCCTCTTTATCTTTTTATCTATTTTTTTTTTTTTTATTATTATTATCTTCATCGACATAATTTCTTCTTCCGTTCGCGAGGGCTTTACACTCAACCTTCCAAAATGGCATTTCAGTTGCCTTATAAGCGTGTGGGTGGGTGGGTGTGGGTGGGTGGGGTGTGCGCGTGTGTGTGAGCGCCCACATATAGCAGTTTCCCCCCCCCCCTTCGCCCCGCCCGGACAAGCGAGTTTTAGCAGGAGGGGAGAGGGAGGGGGGGGGGGGTTCAAAAAGAACCAGTTTCTGTTTCACCAAAAGGGAGGGTCACTTACACACGCAGACGCACACACGCACATACGCATGCATTTACACACATATACGCACGTTTGTACGCACACATGCACATGCATTTACGCACATGCACAAATTCTCACGCACGTACACACACATACACACACACACACATAGACAGACACACACACACCTATACAAACATAGACACACACACTCACATAGACTCTCACACGCACAAACATACATACACACACGCACAAACACAAACAAGCAGACTTGAAATTAGTTCTTCGTATGAACAACAGCATTTAACATTATCAGGTTTTCATTTTCCTTTGTTCTTGTTAATGTGGTTTTGGATATTTATTCTTGTTATCAGCTGTTAAAAAAAAAAAAATAAGTAATAGAAGCATCAGACCTTGTTCTGACAGTAGACTAAAAAGGCAGCTTTCTCCTTGCTCTTCTTGCGAACTTGCTCTTGTTCTTTTCCCGCCTCTTTCTCCTCTCTCTCTCTCTCTGTCTCTGTCTCTTTCCTTCCTTCTTCTTCTCTCTCTTTATTCTCTCTATGTGTGTGTGTGTGTTTGTGTGCGTGTGTGTTTGTGCGTATGTGTGTGTATATATATGTATATATATATGTATATATATATATATACATATATATATATATATATATATATATATATATATATATATATATATATATATATATATATATATATATATATATATATATATGCATGCATGTATGTATACACGCCCTCGCTGGCCTCGAGGGCGGCGCGCAGGCGGACGGTCGAGCGCCATTCCGCCTCGCTTTCTGCCTCGCTTCCCGAGCTTTGTTTTTGTTTCGTTTTTTCCTCTTCCTTTTCCTTTTTTCCTCCGGCTGCGCCCGCGGCCGGCTGCGTCAGGGCCCGGCCCCGTTTCTGGGTCGGCCGCAGTGAAAACGAAGAAAGAAATTGAGAAAAAAGCTGACACGATAAGTGTAGAGCAGGCGCTCGCCCCTGATCCAGACCGTAAAGGCCAAGCGCGCTTTGTTTTGACTGGGAGAATGAGTCTTAGCGACGCAGCGGGCGCGTCGGAGTCCCCCTCTCTCTCTCCTCCGCCCAAGCCGTGATGGCGGACGCCGATGGCGACCGAACTGAGGCAAGGAGCAGCTCTCCGCCGCGGAGGACAGCGGGCCTGCTTTCTAAGGCGCGTCCGGGGACTCGCGTCGCGCGTCGCGGGGGCGAAGCAGCTTTCTAGCGATCGCGTTGCAGCGGCCGCCGTTGCCGGAGGCACGACGATACCTGCCTGCCGGGCGGCTGTTCCCGTGGGTCGTCGCCGCGCGGTCGCCGTGCCTCGCGATTCCGTCGCTCGCCGCGGGGGCGTTCCCGGCCTCTGCAGGTCCGCTCCGAGACGACGGTACGACCCGGGCTCCCAGGAGGCGCCCGGACGGGAGCCAAGCGCGCGGCGAGCGGTGCCCGCGGCTCTCCGGGGGCGGGAGAGCGGGAGAGCCACGCCCGCGCCTCGCGGCCGATGACCTCCTCCCCCCCCCTTCAAGGTCAGGAACGCCGCGAATGAATGAAAAACGTGCGTCGCTCGTTGCTTGTTTGGCTTTGCGTTTTTTTTTTCGCTTTTTTCGTTTTACTGCAAGCGACTTTTTTGTTCGGGCGCTGACAGTGCCTGTGCGCGCCCGCTCATGATTGTCGCGAGAGCATAATAACGGCGAATATATATAGTAAATGGATGAGAAGAAAAGCACTGAGGATAAAGGCAAAGGAAATGGAGTGAAGGAAATGGACGATGAAAATGATATTCTGCCAAAACCGCAACAACCTTTGATAAAGGTGGAAGCCAACGCTGATAAGGAGAGACTCGAACACCAGAATCGCCTGCGCAGTATTAACGGCGATGGCGACAACAACAAAGATGGCGGGGACAATTGGCGCCTTGTGGAATCTCTCCTGGTGATGACG